AAGTAATCAAAAAAGAGTGAATCCCTGTTAAATCAAGGCAAGGGTGAAGACAAGGGTAGGGAAGACAACAGAATGGTGGGTGATGAAGAGAACTCAACCACAGCCTGCATAACAGGCAGGAGAGTAGAAATAGGGGCTGCAAGAGCTTGTGTTTTATGCTCAGCAGGTGTGACTCATGCTAGGAGGTACTTGGTGCTTCTTTATTAGTCCAGTGCAGAGCCATGAGGACAATTAAGGGAGTGGAGCATCTCCCTTATGAGGAAAGGCGGAGGGAGCTGGGTCTCTTTAGCTTGGAGAAGAGGAGACTGAGGGGTGACCTCATTAATGTTTATAAATATGTAAAGGGTGAGTGTCAGGAGTAAGGAACCAGGCTCTTCTTGGTGACAGCCAATGATAGGACAAGGGGCAATGGGTGCAAGCTGGAACATAGGAGGTTCCACTTAATTATGGGACAAAACTTTATAATGCTGAGGGTGACAGAACACTGGAACAGACTGCCCAGGGTGCTTGTGGAGTTTCTTTCTTTGGACACTTTCAAATCCCATCTGGAGATGTTCCTGTGTGACATGATTTAAGTGTTCCTGCTCTGGCAGGGGGATAGGACTAGATGATCTTTCAAGGTCCCTTCCAATCCCTAACATTCTGTGATTATACCTAAAGCACTAACAGCCTTTGATCTTGTGCTGGCAAGTCCACCAGCAGCCTAGCCCATACCAAAAGGAAACTGAGGGGCTTATCAACGTTTTGCAAAAACTTTTGTTGGCTTTATGCTGTCTGTTATTATTATTAAACTAAGAATGAAGGAAAAATTTGTTGGAAGTCTTACAAGCTTGTTGCTGTATCCATTTTGAAAGTTTGGGAAGAGGAAAGGATTACAGGATTATTACAGAAGAGTAGTTTGTAAAATTACACAATTTACAATGAGATGAAATACAGCAATAGGCAGAATAGCTGGGGGCTGTGTAAGTGTCTAGCTTAATCCCTTCTTCTCCTTGTCCTTGCATCTGCATCTGCTCTGGAGAAGAGAGCACTGGCCAAAGGCAGTATGAGGACCTCTAGAGAGAAGGTATAAGAAGGTTACATCAAGCTACTATAATTCCAAAACCCCACCCAGGCAAACGAAGTAGGCCACTTTATTTTTTCCTTCATAAAAGGGTACTTTAATGCAATACCAAATGTGAGATTCTGCCTGCTTTTTTCTGGTATATCCATCTACTGGAAGCAGAGCCTGTACTGCAGACATTAATTTCATAACCCAATGCTGAGGTCACAACATGGATATTTGTGTATTTGTATTTCACTTTAAGTGGGTCCAGATTCATCCCAAACTCTATGGAACAGCTCAGAATATCATTATTTATTTATTTTTAACCAGCAGATAATTACTTTTCCCTCTGATGTATCAACTTAAATTTTCTTTGTGTTTTAATGGTTTAGAAGAATTTTGCACCACACAGCACATCCACAACTATCCTGTGATTTCCATCTAAATATTGGTCATTTATACTAAAAGGAGTCAAACCACAGAGAACAGTATGGGCTTCATCATGACTTGTATTTCATGCATTGTTCTCAACTGTGGTGATCTTCTATTGCGACAGATATTCCTGTCCATGTGCTCCTTATACCACAATGCCTAACTACTGTACCCTTCTTGAACCTCTACAGCATGCTGGTACTGATGCTATGTGTTCCCTTCCTTGGATTTCCATGCTATTTCTCTCATTTCTGCTTTCCTGTCACACACTTACTTCATTCCTTCCTCCTCCTCTGCAAGGTTCCGTGCTCTGAAGGCAAATCCAGCTTGATATTGTCATGCTGCAACAAACTGCCAAGCTCTGGGTAATACCATGTAATCAGATGGTCACCTGCCATTTGTCAGCCACTCCCCTTCCTTCTCCTTTTTCTCCTTGTCTTTCACCGTCATGTCAGGTCTGTAAAAAAGCAAGAGGTAACTTCACACCAGGGTGATCACGCCCTGTGGTCGATATGGGGTCAGGCTCCTTGATCTCCTACTAAGCTGACAGTGTTTTTGCTGCAGGTGATAGTCTATGCAGCAGTGGTACATGGGGTCTTGTCCTACCAATATGCCCTGCAAGCACCCAGAGTACTGTCAAACCTGTGAAAATACAATCAAATATTTCAAGCATGTAACAAAACTGTTTTAACCGATTCGTACATGAGGAATAAAAACAGATGTAAACCACAGCCATAGGACATAGTCCTGAAGGAGCTGTTGACAAGAAACAGTATAAGCAACTGATGTCGTCTATCTGGACTTGTGCAAAGGACTATCTGGACCACTCAGTAGAAAAGGAATTTGCTGAATAGCTGCACACAGGGAATTGCAGTCAACAGATTTATGTCCAGGTAAAGACGAGTGATGAGTGGAATCATAGAACAGCTTGAATTGGAAAGGACCATAAAGATCATCTAGTTCCAAGCCCCCTCCCACTAGAATAGGTTGCTCAAAGCCCCATCCAGCTTGGGCTTGAACACCTCCAGGGATGGGGCAACCACCACTCTCTGGGCAACCTGTTCCAGTGCCTCACCACTCTCTGAGTGAAGAATTTCCTCCTGACATCAAATTTAAAATGGGGACTCACGAGGGCCGAGCAGAGGATGACAACCACCTCCCTCGACCTGCTGACCACTCCTCTCTTGATGCAGCCAAGGACGCAGTTGGATTTCTGGGCTGCAAGCATACACTGCCTCACATTGAGCTTTTTGTCCACCAGAGCCCCCAAGTCCTTCTCTGCAGGGCTGCTCTCGAGGAGCTCTTCACCCAGTTTGTACTCCTGTTGGGATTGCCCCAGTTGCAGCACCTTGCACTTAGACTCATTGAACCTCATAAAGTTCACATGGGTGCACTTCTCAAGCTTGTCCAGGTCCCTTTTGATGGAATCCCTTCCTTCTGTTGCATTGACTGCACCACTCAGCTTGGTGTCATCTGCAAACTTGCTGAGGGTGCACTCAATCCCATTGTCTATGTCGTTGATAAAGATTTCAAGTGTACCAGTCCCAAGACAGGCCCCTGAGGGACACTACTTACCACTGGCCCCCTCCTGGACATAGAATCATTGACCACCACTCTCTGGGTGCAGCCTTCGAGCCTATCCTTATCCACTGAATGGTCCAACCATCAAATACATATCCCTCCAATCTGGAGATCAGGATGTCATGTGGGACTGTGTCAAAGGCCTTACAGAAGTCCATGTAGGTGATATAAATTGCTCTTCCCTTGTTATCTTATGCAGTCACTTCATCATAGAAGGCCATCAAACTAGTCAGGTTCTGCCTAGGATATGAAGATCTGAAAAACTATGTTTCTTATACACTGGCACACTCCTGTCTAGAACATTTTAGTGCTCCCCAGAGTGGGCTGCTGAGATCCAGCCTAGATTCTGGGGGGCTCTGTATCAGCAGCAATGGTGTTCACAGGGGGTTTGTGTCTTGCTGTAGGACAACCCCATAATGAGAGGCAGGGAGGGTAAGCAGCAGGGCTCCATCCTTCCCCATGTTCTCACTGCCTTTATCATCTCTTTGCATCACCCCAGAGCCTAGGGGTCCTGTTCTGTGAACACTGTGTATTATATTTGATTTGAAGCTACTTGGGACAACATGATAATCCATGGCAAGCATGTGGCACATTGACTCATATGACCCGACATGAGGCATGTTCTCTATGCACATCTGTGTGACAGACGGGAGAGTCAGAAGAAATATAATTTAGATTCAAGCCACATTGGGTTAGATTTCCTTTCATCCTTACAGAAGTAAATAGATGCTCCATTCAATTCACAGTTGTATAGAAGAAGATAATTCCACAGCTGAATTTATGTGGGAGCTGTTGTTCTATGTGGGCTTGTGAGGAAGCAATAATGAACAGTGAGAAAAATGTTGTAAGACTAATTAGGTGATTATTGTGCCACATTATCCTTCTCTGACACATCAAGGCTGAATTCTGCTCAGATCCAGAAATAACCCAGGGGGAACAAAAGACTGGGAAGTGACAGATGCCGTAAACTACACAATAGACCAGTGAGATGGTAAGCCTGAGGTGGGATGGGTTTCCTTCTCTGTGTCTGGTTTTAGAAAGAAAGTATGCATGGTGCTACAAAAGGAAGGAAGGAACCTCTCCCCATGATGCAGGAGATTGTGTGAAAGAGAATCCTTTGAGAGCTGAAACAGTCACTGGTGGGTGCCTGTGGGCATAGAATCACAGAATCCCTAGTCCTCTGCCATGCTATTTCTGATACACACCAAGATGCCATTGGCCTTCTTGGCCACCTGAGCACACTGCTGGCTCATGTTCAGCTGGCTATCGACCAGGGCAACTTTCTGCTGGAGTACATCAAGAATAGCTTTTTCAGAATCCCTCATCACCTGTGTGAAGAAGTTATCCTCCATACATTCCAGAAATCTCCTAGTCCATTACTTCTTCATGGTATGGTTGCTCTTCAGCATGCTTCTTTTTATTTCCCTGTGCACACCTTACTGTGAATGAAGCTCAAAAGGTCCCAAGTCAGTATGGAGATTTCAAATGTGTGTAAAACTAAATGATACAAGCTGATTTTTTAATGAAGTTTCTATAAAGTTTTTCATGTGCTTCAATGCTTATTGAATATTTCTGCTGTGTTTCTTCCTCCTTCAAGTACACAGGTTTAAACTTACAGCAATGGGAGGAGAAAGGGGTCTTGGAGGAGAGAGGAGAGACCCCCACCTGCCTGATATCTCTCTCCCACTGAAGACCACTCTCTTCTTGGTCACAAAGTGCAACTTTTGAACTTTTGTACTGTGGTACAATATATAATATATATATTATAATATTATACATATATAATATATTATATATATTATATATATTATAAATTATATAATGCATATATATATTATATATATAATATATATATATATATATATATATATATTTATATTATATATAATATATAATATAATACATATAACTAACAGTGAGTGTACAGTACAGAGAACCACAGAGTGTCTGTGGTGAGGGAGCACTACAAGGAGATAATTTATGAGACCCATGGGCCCTTTGCCATTTTGAGGGTGTCTGTTAGGTCTTTGTGGGCCTGGATACCATTGCAGAAAGGGAGTATCTGCAATTTTTTTCAATCTGTGACCTGTTTGCTGCAAAACAGCCTGATCATGGCCTTAGGAATGGAGAAAGAATACTTTGTATGAGCAGCAATAAGATAGAAGTAACAGTAATTTACCTAATGCCTTTTATTATAAGATCGAGTCAGGATCACAAGCATTTCCCAGTAGGACCGAACTGCTAGACCAGCAGTTTTCCATTACTTCTGTGTTGCACAAGCAGTTTCCCAGTAAAGGTGACAATCTCTTCACAGTCAGTTTAGACCCACTAAGGCTTTGTTTTTCTCATCATCTTTCACACAACTTCCGCAGGTGTGGTACATGAAAAACCCAGGAACCTGCAATCTATGAAGCTGAGAATCACAGAGGACAGTAGGACTCACTTATCAGACACAGGTAGTACCATTTGTCCATTCAGGTTTTTTCTGAAATGGGGGGCTTGAACAAACAATGCAAAATCCACCACTCTGAGAGAAAGAAAAGTTTATTGGTATTTTATAAAAGGAAATGGTCACTATAATACATTGATATAAATATTTATAAATATTATGTGGGACTTCAGACCCACTCCAATAAATAAATAAATATTGCAATATTAAAATATAAAGTAATGCTTTCTTACTAGCTGGTGATGGCCAGCATCTCCTTTGAACAACTAATTCTTTTGACACATTCACTACATTTCTTTGTAATTACAAATATGTTTTTGATGCAAAAATTACTGTGCATTCACTCTTAGCATAGGGACTAAATCTCCTGGCTACTCATGGAGTGAGCAACCCTTCTTACTTTGTTATGATGCATAAATATAGAGATGGCATAGAGATATAACCCCACAGGATTTTGTCATCAAAGCTCGATATGGATTGAGGCAGAATTTTTCACAATTAAAACTGTTGTAAATCTATTGACTCATAGTCCTGGAGCGCTCTCTGAAGCTTAGAACAATTTATGCAAAATTAAACTTTTGCTTGTGTGATTGCAGTCCAGAGGTGTCAAGGAGAAAAAGCCAAGAAGAATGGTAAAGAAATAAGTAAAAATATTAAACTGAAACACAAATAAAATGATACCTGTTCACCACATAAACAACAAGGTAAAGAGTCTTGTGATTTTGAATAAGCAAGAAAATACACAAACCCTGCTCTTCAATTCTCCCAGTCCATTATAATCACTTATTTTCCTTAGAAGATAATTATAAACATGATGAATTTAGAGGAAGAAAAATAATAAATTGTGAGACCCAATTCTTGATCTAATCCTAATCATTTGGATTGTCCTGTGCTCCTGGGTACTTGTATGAATTGAGAATCATGCCAAGTGGCAAAACTATTGTAGCAGCAGAATCAGGCCTTATGATTATCCTAACATAACTACCTGGAGGTTGTAAATAAATAAATATTTTGTATGTATATCACTATATATGCATATATAAATATGTTTTAAATGCTGTCAGCAGGACAGACCCTGTGCTAAATCCAGAATTTCCATGAAAAAAAAGAACTTAGTGGGTCTTACTTTGATCTTGTTACAGTGATGCAGTTCCAGTCACTTCAGTGAATTACTTCACCAGACAGTAGGAAGAACAGAACCAGAATCTAGCCTGACATATTTTGTGTTATTGCAAATAAAACTGGCCAAATGTACTATTTTCAGAATGGTGTCAGACTGTTAAATATACTAAGTAAACAAAACAGAAGGGTCTGCATCTTGACGGAAAGCACATGCACACCAAGATGTAAAACCCTTCTCATATATCCACCACACTGGATTTTTCTCCAGCTGTTGATTTCTGATGCTATTGATTTCTGCTGGAGTACATCAAGAACAGCTTTTTCAGAATTACTCAAATTTACTCCCAGGAAGATGGGATTAAAAGTAGAAGAAATAAAGGAGAAAAATAACTAAATATGTGTACAATTTTGAGTCCTGAATATAGCTTCATTAAAACCAGTGAAGCTATACTGAATTCTGCCAGTTAACAGTTTGACACCTAAATTACAATGAAAAGCTCTGCTCTGCACATATCTCATCTTAACTAAAGATTTGTAAATGTCAAATGTATATACTGAGGTTATATTTTGACAAATAAACTTACCATAACATATTCCAATCTAGATGTCTAAGTTTTGTCAACATTTAGAGATTTGATCATATTAAGGTCATTTCATTCTTACAGACATAAATTATCTGATACCTGCTCAGAATTAGATAAAAGCATTGATGCTAAACTTAGATTCTCCTTTTCTAAATACACAACTCATTTTCACTTATTAGATGAGAGTCTGCATTAACTGTTAATATTTTAATGTCTATGAGGCATAATTTGCGGAGACTTTTTTCCCCAAGCACTGTGCAGAGTTAAGCACTGTGCAAAACAAACAAACAAACAAACAAAACAACCTATTTGACACATTATTGGTTATTAATATTTCTGTTACTTATGTCTCTGTTGGAAATATGCAAAATTAATGAATGTTTCCACATTATATTTCACATCATTACAACTAAGTGAATAGAGAGGTGTGACAGAAAAGGACTTAAGAAAATGGTGAAATCAGCTCCTCTGTTTCTAAACCTCAGCTTGGAATCAAGATGTGTCAGAAATGACTCTTCCTAAACAAAATTATTTGATCCTTGTTCTCCTGTCAGTTGTTACATTTTCCAGGCGTGCTGTGTGTTTTTTTTTTTTTGTTGTTTTTGTTTTGTTTGTTTGTTTGTTTGTTTGTTTTTAACAGCAGAGTGGTCACTTTTCAACTCTTACAGGCATGAAAAGAGACAAAGTTCCAATCTTAACAGCTAAAAACATATATCATAAATTTTATATAATAATATAGCACACCATTGGTTAGTTAGTCTGCTGTGCTTGCAAGTGAGCTGGTAAGAGGATTCTCTGCCTCTGCTGGAATATCAATTGCTCCAGGGCCCAAGTCTCTTCCAAGCTACATCAGTTTCCCATTCATTCCAGTGAATTTTGTTTCTCACTGATAGATACCAAGGGTAATTCAGACCCTAGATTATTTGGTTTGTATTATTCTTTTTGAAAATATCTTCTTTCCAGTAAAGCAGAGTGCAACTCTATTTTTTTTTCTTTTCTTTTTTTTCAGTAAGCTGTCATCTGTAAGGACAGAATTTGAAATACAGGATTTTTTCCCAGTATCTTTCAGTTTTCTAATAGCCATCTTAAGAGTCAGAAATTGAGTGTGCTAGGCACCTCCTTTTGTCTATTATATTCACTCACGCATGTCATCAATTTGCAGGTGGCCCCAGTTATCTTGTAATATAAAAGCGAGGACTCGCATACCTCCTGGCATCCATCATGGCATGTGGGTCATCTGGGTTCACCACATCATTCTGATTGATTCTCATGGGTTCCCTGGGCATGTGGGAAAAGTCTGTTTGTAGCTGCAGCTGAGATCCTAATGCAGAGACCTTTCTCTGTGGGACCAGGATCTGGTGTGGATCCATTGGATCAATATCTGCACTTCTAGTGTTTCTGTGGGGCTCAGGTGTGTTGAATCGAAACAAAGGGATTTCATTTCTTCTGGACAAAAACTGGGAGTACGGTGGTGGATTCATACCAGGGAAGAAAGCTTGTTTAACTCTGCCTAAACTAACCAGAAAGTTGTGCTTGGGAGATTGGTACACATCATATCCATTTTCCAGTGTCCTATGGTTGAACACACAGTCCTCTTGACTGAAGTAATGCTTAAAAAAAAAAAAAAAAGACAACTGTGACAACTGTGATCAAAGGCAATTGGTAAAAGACAAGTACCAATTAAAGATGGAAAGAGGAATGAGCTCTTTCAGCAGGGTGTTTTCAGGCTCATTTAAACGCAAATCTATTATGGGTGCCTACATTTTCAACTTAGATATTATTCAGATAGCGCTGTTTTCTTTCAGAGGTCTGCATTGTTTGAGCTACTCCCAACCTGTGAATCTACACTACAGCAAGACTGTAAGATCTCATTGGATCTCCTTCTGCTCTCATTTATCCCAGCAGGAATTCAGCTCTACAATTTAACACAAACAAAAAAGAGAGGAAAGTTTAATTTAAATGGCGGGTTGTCAGCTTGCCTAAGCCTGAATCCGCCTGCTGTAGCTATACAGATTTGCCCTAAATGAGTCTTAGTAAAGGTGGCTCACCGATCCAAAGATGTTTCCTTTCATGTCCATGCATAGGTAGCGTCCACTCTTCACACCTGTGATTATTACACAGCCAGCACCCTCAGACTTGATCATTAAGGCACCTGTTTAAGAAAACAAAGATGTCAAATCCAGGACCCAGTTTGACACTGCACATTTGCCTTACTGGTCCACAGAAATGGTGACTGGAAGTGTCCTCTGAGGAGTCTGAACCCACTTACTGTGTGAATTGAGACTATTGTGCACCCTAGATCTAGCTGTGGCTTTGTCTGAGCTTTGGTCAGCTCCCAGGGTGGAAATGCTACCAACTCTCTGGGTGCCCTGTACCAGTGCAGTAGTAGAATCTCAAAGACAATTTTTTTCTAACATCCTAATTGAAGTCCCAAACCCCAATCTGGGGCTATTACCCTTTCTTCTGTCACTAGCCATGACAACGAGGAGTTTGGATCCTCATCTTTATGACTGCCCTATATTGACTGCTATGTGGTATTAGATTATCTTTAACCTCCTTTTTGCTGTGTTAAAAAGATCGCCTCCTTAAATCTTTTGCAAAAGTTTGTGCTCAAGGTGCCTGGGCAATCTGCAAACCCTCTGCTAGACCATTTCCAGTTTCTCCACATGCATCTTGAACTGGGGTTGCTATAGTACTCCAAGTGCAGTTTCCCTCATGACAACTGAAGGGGGAAAACTAACTTCCCTTGATCCACTGATCACAGTAGATGGCTTGTCATCTTCTAAAACTGAGTGTGCTGTATTTGATTTGGTATACTCTGTAACCCTTAGGTCCTACCCAGGAGAGTTGTATACACCCAGCCTCTGCCCAGTCTGTGCAGCACTTTGGACTTCTTATTTACCTGGTGTCTGAGTGGCACTGTGGCGACCTGGCAGAGATTCAGTCACCTTCCCTTTCATGACCTTTTTGTCTGATTTCCACCTTCCCTATTCTACCATTCCAAATATAGGTGGTTTTGTTTCAAGGCAGACATTGGCAAAACGTGATATTTTGCTGGCTGTTATTGTCGACAATTTCTCCCTGGTTCTTGACCAACATACTTAAAAGTGAATTTTATAAAACCTATCAATATGCAGGAAGAATAGCAGCAAGAGAGCACAGGCATTCCTAAAAGCGTTTCATCAGTAATTCCTTAAAAGAAAAAATACTGAAACTTGATCCCTTTTTCTCCTTAACAAATTACAACTTTTTAAAATACCTTTTTTTTTTTTTTCCTTATATACTTCTACACAAATATCACAAGATGTGTTTACATTTTGCATTGTGTGGGTGAAGAACATGCTATGTGGTAATGATATAAAAGACTTTATAGTGCATAGCTACTTGTGATTTGAGTGATGCTAGAAGAGAAGTAATTTTGGAATCCTGTGAAATAACCCCATGTCTTAAAAAAATAAAATGTAACAAACAAATAAACAACAAGAGCAACAACATTTTTTTAACTAGTCATGCTGTTTGGGCTGGCATTCAGCCAAGGATACATGAATTTTCCATGAAAATAAACTATAATAGAAGATTTTAGTTACAAAAGTGGATGTTTACTTCTCATGAACTGCAAAAGCGTAGCTCTTCATTTATGACAGTCTGGCCTTCTGCAGTTTCCCCCCATTTAATCAAACATGTCATGCTTATTTACCTATGTTCTATGCATTGCTGAATTAGTGCCACACACCTTCAGACATAAGAATTTGAAGGTTGCCTTACAAACCAATTTTAAATAAAGAGATCTACGGTTATATTTGAAAGGACATGACCTAGTTTTAGTATTTAGCAGCTCTCTACCCCAGAATAAAGATTCTGTGGACACAATCAGTTCCCCAACTGGTACTGCGATGACTTTCTTCAGTACAATGCTGTCACTGCAACATGAAGTAGCTCTTTGGGACATATCACCAAATTCTAATAGGAACTTCCACAAGAAACTGTAGGTAAAATCATGCAGTGAAGGATAATTCAGGTAGTTTTTGCTTGAAGAGGATTACAACAACCATAGAAATGTAGTGCTCTGAGACAAAGAAAGAAATTTCCCACCTGCTATATTTCTTTGAAGCAATTTTATTTGTTAATCAAAAGAAGCATTATAATTGTGTATGTTTTCCAACCCATAGCTATACTCCTCTGTCCCAATGCCTAACAAGAGGATGGAATTTTCTACAGGTAGCAAGAAAACAAAAGTCTTGTCCTCCCTCCCCTGTTCCCATAAAGACCGAGGGTCCGTAGTAAGCTACTTACTGTATATGGTTTGATGAGGAACACCATCAATGTAGCCATCAGCATTGATTTGGAGATGGAAGCTGTTCCTCTCTGAAGATGTATACAGGTGCATCAGGCGATCTCCATTCCCCCAGCTGGGATTCAGCAGTGGAGAGGAGTTGGGAAAGGCGACTGTAGCCTTCAGGCTACAGAGTACAAGCAGCATGTGCTCCAGGCAGCAGTAGGGACTAGTCTGTTGCATGGCTCTCTGCTCGTCGTGGCTGGTTGGTATCTGAAACTTGATACTCCTCTGTGCTTCTTGCTTTCCCTTGTTTGCATGTGCCTGGAGTGAGAATTCTCGGATAGGTTCCCTTCTTCTTTGCAGAGGCTTATAAAGGGCAGCAAAATGACATCACACAGGAAAAACTTCTCCACATCCTTGATTTTTGTCAAAGCAACATTTTAAGTGTCCCAAAACCTCAAGGGAAGGAAAGCACGTAGGATCTCTGGGTAAGGTGCGGGGGGGAAAAATGTAAGGTTTCTAAAGACAGCTCACAAAAGCTAATCATATGTTCAAATGTTATCTACAACCCTGTGACATCTGAGAGCTTCCCACGCCCCTACTGTTAAATCCAGGAAGAGCACTCCACTGTCCTTTCTGTGAAGAGAAGGGAATGACCCTTTAAACTTCAGTTATCTTTTTTTTTTTTTTTTTTTTTTTTCCTCATAGATGTTTATTTAGATTCCCACCTCCCTCTCAGTTTCCAAATGACATTCTGATTTGGTGAAAATACCAATGCTACTAAAAATTTCCACAGCTGTATCAAAAGCTGACATTAGGTTGGTCTGGGCCTGATTCCCTCTTCATTATAGTATAAGTTTAGCAGTGACCTTGTTGGACTGATACTTGTGCTACCCCATTTAAGCAAGTGAAACTTGAAGCAAGTGCAGCCCATTTCAAATAAACTCTCCCTTTTCTTTCTCCTATTTGAGTCACTAATTAATTTGAAGTTGGCCAAACATTAACTGCAAAACTAATTAAAATTAGAGGCAAAACACTTAGAATCTGCAAGAACCTGCACTGCAGATTTAGCTGACAGTCTTTTATAGAGCCATATTGGTTAGCATGGCCAGAAGATCTCAGATCTGAATCAAGACTAAAACATTCATATTGTCACATTTTTATTACTTTAGGTACAGCAAGAAAGCTTGGAAGAACTACTTAGAAACATGACCAAACTGAAAAAGTAATAAACACGTAAAGCAATGTTAAAAAACACTCCGAGATATGAAACTTGCTTTTCAGTTGTCCTGCCGGTGTCCTGTGTTTTTACAAAAAAAAATAAAAATAAAAATAAAAAAATGCTGTACTAATGGGAAATTGAGTATACAGGTAAAACGATGATAGGAATAACAGGTCACAAACTAGGCAGTGTTTAGATTTCTTTTTAAAATGAATATAGAACTGAAAAGAATACTAAACAATAAATTGGTCACTTTTTAAAAGGAAACACGAGGATTTTAAGTGTAGCAGTCTTAAGTTCACCAATTCCAAGCACAGATATCAGCGAGTTAGTCTTTAGTTAGACACAGTGTGCAAAATTTTTAGTTCTATGAAGAACCTGTGGAGCAGTGCCATCATCACAGAATATGTTATAGCTTGACACAACTGTAAAGGTTGATGTGATTCTTTTTTTTTTTTTTTAAATCAGCAAAATATTTCTGCCAAATACTTCTGTCACACCTGTGTAAATCTAGAGGCTTGCGTCATTGTATATACACCTGTGTAAATGACAGCATTTTTTAGCCAAAGTGTATAAGGGTCATATCTTAAGCTGAGTAGATTGACAAAACTGTCTTCACTGAGAGACAATCTAGGCTACAAATCTTTCACTGGTTATAACATCTGAAACGCTTTGCCATCTTAATTGAAAAAAATAGCTTATAAATAAAGGAGTTCTTGTTTTGTTTTGTTTTAAGTGATGCATCTATTTACTGTTGAAATTATCTACTGAAGCTTTTTGGTCCAGCATTCAAACAAAAGTATTTTTTGTTTGTTCATTTGCCTTTTGCTCCCTTTCATTAGACTACCATGGAAATGTGGATATGGATACTTCAGAAGTAGTTGCAAAATTTTCCACAAGAGGCACGTATAGGGTACTGAGTCCTCTTGGAAATTTTTGTGATTTTTTTGTTAATGCATTTTTTCTGGTTTGATATTTCGTATTCATCATGAAGTCTTCCTATGCTTACCATTATGCATTCATTTGATCTCTCTTTGGTGTCTTAGCTACAAAGAAATGGTTCTCAGGTGGTTAAAAAATGCATTCAAGCCCTGTGGTAGCACACAGCAGTTGTGAGAACCTGATTTTTATTTTTATTTTTTTAATGTCTCAAAGAAGCAAAGAGTTCTTTAATATGCTTAAATTGTTAGGCATTTTCAGAAGCTTCTCAGAGAGTCAGCAAAACCCCTGACTTTGCTGAGTTGTGTATTAGCAACTGGGCTAAAGTGAATATATTAAACTCTCTACTTTTGAGGGTGATAATGTAGGTTTTGCCTTTTCATTTACATTTCTGTTTTAAACCTATCAATGTACACTGTTGGTAGTTTGTTTGTGTGTGTGCTTTTTCTTTTCTTTCTTTCCTTTTTTTTTTTTTTTTTTTTTAACAATACATTTCTTTTTTATTCCTGGTTGATCCATTTATTTTCTCTTTTGGTATGCCACTTAACTTTCCTACCCATTCAACTCTTTGCTTGATTTTTCAACTGCATCAGTTAGAAGTAGTAACCACCTTATTTCTCTTTTGTCATTATGCTGTTATATCAGTAGTAACAATATTTTTGCAACTTCTACCACATATATTGATATTGCTTTTTTAGCTCTCTGTATTGTTCTGAGATGTTTGACCAACCAAGACAGCTTTTGTCAGTGCCGGGCTTGGCTTGCAGGTGCTTGAGAAAATTTCTGATGCACCCTACTGGATCCCGTTCTCCTCCTTCCCTCTGCCATGCCTTCCTCCCAGGCCTACTCCTGCTGCCTCCTTCCTGCTGAGGCAGCACAGGTTTGACTGTGCTAGATGCCTCAGCTGTAATGCCTGAGTGCCTCACCAGTACAAAGTGTGATCTAAGTGTGACAACAGCACATGCAGCAAACAGTGGACAGAAAACACTAGATATCTGTAAATTAACAAGATAACTTTCTGTCCTGAGTAAAGTAAATGTATGGTGGAAAGTTCTGTAATTTAAGTAAATTATACACAAGACTGTAGACAAAGGGAAGTGTGTTAGGTTCATGGGAGCATCCTAAACTCTGACTTCCCCCTAGCTTAATGATGTTGTGTTTCAGCCTTAGTTTTTTTTTTTGTTTGTTTGTTTGTTTTTTTTTTTAAATCAAAATGTATATGTTCAACTCTATAAAACCCTGATCTCAGCAGCTGTGTGTCATTTCTTCTTCAGCTGCTAGCAAAGTAACTCCTTTCCTCTATTGTTTATCACTTCAGTCAACTGCAGAGGACTTTCAGGGGAAAGGCAAGCTTTTTATTACAAATTTAAGTTACTACAACTTATTTGCTCTCAGTTACCTTTTACAGACACCTTGGAAGTGCTTTATGCACCATCAAAAAAATTCACATTAAAGAGAAGCTGTTTAAAAAAATCAACATAATGTGGTTGCCTTCCAGGACTCTCCTATAAGTAAAGAGGCATGTTCCCTCACAGTGTTAGACCACCTTGATCACGTAGGAGCACCTGTAGCACTGTTGCTTAATAAAGCATATTGACCCTTATTTAAACAGGTGTGTGGCTTGTCCCGTTGCAGAACTCTGGCTATCTAGGGACAGAGGGATGTTCACCATCCCTGTTCACAGTCAGCCTGTCCCCCTGGCTAGGAGCCACGTGGTAAGTGTGTGAGGCTGGGCAGGAATTGCCCCTGCAGTTCCCAGGTATCTCAGATGGCCTCAGAAAGCCTTGTGCTCTCTACTGTTTCAAAGATTGCAAGGGAGTTTGAGTTGACATATTTGAAACTACCTCTGCTTTTAACACTTTTATTTGCATTGTGTCACTTCAAAAACATAAGAGAAACTGGGGTCTTTTTTCCCTCCCTCCTCTTCCTAAAATCACTGTAATAACTGGCTCTGGGACAATCACATCTTCAGCATTGAAAGTACAAGGGTGGAGTGCCTCTCTAGTAGTTATTCTAGGAATAATGACGTACCAAGTCGACAGTATGTACAGTGGATGCTCTGTAAGCATGTGTATGCATGAGCCTTCACCACAGACTTTACCCAGCATTGTTAAACACATCCTGAGGGACCTTATTTGGACATCCCATTCTTGTCACACTGCCCACGACTAAAGCAAACATCCTGGCCATCCTCACCTACGTGAAACAAATGAAGTAAGAACAGCCCACTGGGTTTGGGACCGCAGCGTGTACTAGCAGTTTCTGCCATGTACTTCCAAATATATTGTCTTGGCTCTTCTATTTTTTCCCCTCAACCTTTTCTCTACATAACAGACATTTTGGAAATCTGTTTCCAGTTGTAGAAGTGCTAAATCACATGTGTCTGAAGCTCTGGAGCAGCTTCTTTGGTGCCTGTGTTCACATGATACAGGATATATGGTCTTCATGAGGAGTGCCTGTCTTTTCTTCTAGGCTCTTTTCTGTCCAGTCAGACAGAAGGCTGGCATAAGCTTTTAGCTCTCATTCACAATTCCCAAAGGGAGGTAGATTTTTACCAGTGGCTTTAGAGATTATGGGTTTTTAAAATGTAATGCTACAAAGATGGTGAGAAGCAGAAAGCCCCAGTACTTCACTATATTCTGAGGAGGAGGTTAATAAGAAATCAGACTTCCCGGTCTGCAAACATCCCACATGGGCATTTGTGATGCTGTTTGTGCTGTTTTACTCTAACTGACTGAAATGAAGGGCCCCATTCCTCCCCCAGCTGAAATCTTTGGCAGAGCTCCCAGTCAAAGCAGAACGAGTCCCTAAAAGGTTGTGTTTTCTGAACAGGGACTGTTTCTGTCATTTTAAAGGGTCTGAATTTTCTTAGGTATTGTGGAATAGAGAGTGGTCCCAGTCTGAAATGACAGCTGCTGATACTCTCCATTTCCAAAGAGATGCTTCCAGTTCCTGAAATGGAGTTTCTCAGGCTGTGGTATCTGTTCCTTTGGGGGTGGGAAAACCCTTCCATATGCAGGGACCTGCTTCTGAACCTCAGGTCAGCACCTGGGCACAACCAACCCAGCTAATATTCTTGGTGGTAGGTAGATGAGAGGATGGACTTCGCCTAGGGTGAGAGAAATGAGAAAAGTTAGGATTTGAGGGTGAGCCCCAGAACGGGAGTATGTGGGAGGCAAGTGTTCAAAGTGAGCAGTACAAGTGTGAGAGGTACACCAAGAAGGAGAAGGCAGAGAGCACAAAGACAGACCTCTTTTCATACTTGGCTGCAGGACCTGCTGCTCTTTGTCCATGAGCAAACTCTGAGGTAATCTGCTTGAAGGACACAGGTGGCCAAACTAGGTCTAGGTGTCCTTTCCCAGTGTCTTGTGCTAGTAGCTTCTCCTGATAGTCTGTGGCTTGAAATACATGTATATATATATAAAATATGTATTTACTAAAGATATGTATTTTGACTC